ACTCACTAAGGGCAGTTTGTTTTGTCTTACACTTAGCACAATGTCTTTGCACACAGTACTGATCATAAACTTACCTATTGATAATAATAATAAATACCAAATATAGTATTTTTAGGAAGCCAAATTACTTACAACATGGCTTAAAAATCTTCTGTGCCAAAAATAAAATTGTATTTCCATTTCTTTTCAAATTTCTGTGTTCCTCTTATCACCTTGTCAACCCCTCCCTCACCTCCTGCCAAATATAAAAAATTCTGACTTGGCCAATAGCCGGGCGTTGTGGGGGGTGCCTGTAGTCCCAGCTACTTAGGAGGCCGAGGCAAGAGAATTGCCTGAGCCCAAGAGTTTGAGGTTGCTGTGTGCTATGCTGCCAGGGCATTCTACTGAGAGTGACAAACTAAGACTGTCTCAAAAAACAAACAACAACAACAAACCCCCCCCCCACAAAACCCAAAAGTGACATTTGAGTCTAGTGTACTATTTCTCCTCACAAGACAAAGTTAATTTCAACATTCTCTTAATGGAGATGGGTGCTACTGAAATATTTAAAGTAGTAGATTAGATTTCCGTTCTAGAAAACTAACTCAGGCAGCAAGAGAATCCCATGAACTTCCAGGTTTTATTTTTTCCAAAAACATGACTGCCATACTCTCTTCACTTTTTCCCCTTCTGAAAAATTCCCAGTCAAAGCTTTAAGATTCAGCGTTCAACTTAAAGCTTTTCAGACCATCAGCCTTGTTGTGCAGTCTACATACCAACACCTCTTAGGCACATCTCTTTTTACATACCTCCCGTAGTATCTTTATAGGTCTCCTTCCCTCACCAGACAAGTACTACCTGTTCTTTATTAGTTTGTGCAGCCCCAGTACTAATTGATATCCCATGAAAGGGTTTCTGTGTGAATCCATTGATCTGAAAAATTGGCTCATTTTCTACCACTACAGCTGAAATGACCTAAGAAGGAAAATTATAGACTCCTTAGCAGGGGAAAGAGTACAAAAGATATGAATGTCAATGTCTTGGAAATTTGAAGCCATTATGCAAAACAAATGTTTTTATGATTGGTTAGGGTGATGAGTCAGGAGGACCCTCAAGCAAACACCATTCTCTTTCTGGCACTGTAGAATTTTAAATTATGTTTTGAACAATTTGGCTTGCTCAAAAATATTCTTTATTTATTGAATGTATTACTCAGCAATCTCATTGAGAACTCTTTTATAGCTTTCTCAAATGCTCATTACTTTATTATCAGACCCCAGCCTTGGGCAACGCTATTCCCGCTGCCCAGTCTGCCCACCCACCTCCACTGTACACTACACACTCCTTCCCCCATGGGCTTTAACTTGCCCTTTAAAACTCAACTTTTCTGGAAACTGTCTGGTTAAACCCACCCTCTATGAATGAGTGCGTAAGGTACCATTTCTGTCTTCCTATAGCACCAAAATAAATTTTAAATTCAAATCTAAATTTTAGATTTGTGACAGTATAGTAATGAAGGTCATACAGAATTTATTACTCACTCACAAAAGACTATTTACCATGCTCTGCAAATACAAAATAAACAACTCTCAAAATGTGAACTCTCTAAAGGTCAGCGATTTCTTATATAGGGATATTTGTAACCTCTCCTGCCCCTCAAACATAGCTCTAAGCTTTACTACTCTACACTCAGAAAATAATTGTTAGAAGAATGAAAGTGACATTCTTGAAAGTTTATTCCAAAATTTCAGCTAAAGGATCAGCCTGTTTATTAACTTATCTGTGTTAAGGCTGACACCCTACAATAGCTTTCATTTTTATAATTTAACTTTTATCAATTTCTACCTGTCTTTGGTCAAGCTAACTTTTATACTTTTGCAATACCCGGATTAGATGCCCTTCCTCTATGGTTCCTAAGCCTGTGCATATAATTCTGTCAAGGTCCAAATTATCTTGTCTGGAAAGTTCTGTTTATCATTCCCACTAGAACAGTGGTTCTCAATTTTCCTAATTCTGCAGCCCTTTAATACAGTTCCTGTGGGTTGTGACCCACAGGTTGAGAACTGCTGTACTAGAACATAAACTCCTCAAGGGCAGCCATGTGGCTTGTGCATTTCTGTCCCTAAGCAGGTACAATACTTGGCCCAAAATGGCTGCTCACTCAATTAAGTACATTAAAGGAAACAGAATTAACTTTGGGCACTACCCTAACAGTCCTTATGGTTGTTCTGACAAAATATTACCTTAGAGTCATAATTAGTTTAGAGCCACAATAAGGTACTCATTTAAATCCAAAAATTATTTTGTCCTGGCTTCCAGTAGAAACTAACAATTGGTTTCAGAAAAACTGGAGAATTCTTGGGAAGGACTCCCAGTATTCAATTTTACAGGCAGACCACTTCTATTTATTTCATAGAAAACTGGGGGCCGCGCCTGTGGCCCAAAGGAGTAGGGCACTGGCCCCATATGCCGGAGGTGGTGGGTTCAAACCCAGCCTCAGTCAAAAACTGCAAAAAAGAAAGAAAACTAGTATTAGACAGGAACACTAAGAACAATGGAATTAGCTGTTTTTCCTGGGCCAGCCAGCTACATTACAAAATATATGAAACCTAAGTCTGAGCTACCTTCAAGGCATGGTCGCCAGAAGTTCAATCATCTTACAAGCTGGCTCCTCCTCTGACTTAATTCCAAAATATTGTAGTTAGGGCAGTGCCTATGGCTCAAAGGAGTAAGGCGTCAGCCCCATATGCCGGAGGTGGCAGGTTCAAACACAGCCCCGGCCAAAAAACTGCAAAAAAAAAATAAAATATATATATACACACACACACACACATATACATATATAGTAGTTGTACTCATGTACCCAACTGGGCCGTGCTCTGCAAAAGTCTTTCCATTCATTTTCTGCAGTCGCCACTACAGGATTGGCCTTTATTGGACTAGCCCAACAGTCTAACTGGATTCTCCATTTCCAGCTTTTTTCTGTTTTATCTATTAGTCACACTGCTACCAAATAAAATAAAGGTCAGTGATTCAAAATGTTAGATAACTTCGTTATCCCTTTCTTATTCTCTGAACATTTGGCAACATCTGGAGACACTGGATTGTCACAAACGGTGGCCAGAGATGCTAAACACTCTACAATGCACAAGACAGCCCCCTCCCCAACAAAGAACTGCCTGGCCACAGACCACCTTGTTATCTCAGGCCAATCATCTGAGTTGTTTGAGAATCAACTTCCTCATTTCTACAATAAGATTAAAGTCTCTACCAGAAAGGGCTTTCAGGAAGGATAAGAGAGCCGCTCTACACAGAACGCCAAGCACAGTGTCTACACATTAGGTATTAACACACATTTTCAGAAAAATTGCTAATTCTGTTTCTTCTTTTCTCTCAAACAGAATTATTCTTGTGCTAACAAGGACACTGATAATGGGAACAGAAGCCCCTAAGAAGAAGATTTCAAGTGAACAACAAAGAGTTGTTTTTCTGAGCTGGATAAATTATATGCCAATAACGTGAGCAAGGTTGCTGATCCATGCCTGGAAAGATACTAAGTCAGTATCAAGAGATGCAGTAAATATATTTAGAAAACTGTAGGTTGATGAGCCTGCCATTTAGAAGAAAGTCTACTTAAAATGTGTGTACAAAGACTGGGCATGGGGAATCCTAGCACACTAACCTCTTTTCTTTGACAGAACTACTAAACTTGGGAATACTGTTGACAGGATGTTGGAATGCTGTATGAAATCTGACAGGACCTTTCAAGTCAGTCTTGTGAAAACATGTCTGGGGTCTTGTTGCATCGCATATAAACTGTCCCTGTACTGTCTGAGGCCAACTCTCCACAGGGGTCCTAGACCTAGCTTTCTGGCCTTCAGTCACCTATCTATCTGGGGCACAGATCAATCCAAATTGCTAGCACACCTTACTATCTCCTGCACTACACGCTTTTGCCCCTACAGTTTCTGCCCATTTCTCTGAGTCTCTCCCAATCTTCAGGTAACCCTCCTGACAAAGTTGTCTCGCCCATCTCCACTTCCTCACCTGTCAACTGGAGTTCCCATTATTCCAACAGGCCAAGTCTAACGTTACTTTTCTGTCCTCAATTTACTGTTAGGTCCTGAATTTAGATTCAAGCCAAACCAGAACAGAAGAGACAAGTACAGGAAAAAAGATATCTGACTTAACAACAGCGGAAACTTTAAAAAAAAAAAAAAATCACAGGAAGTACAGAACGCGTCAATGGCCTGAGGCACAAAGCCAACGTGATCTTACAAGACTTGTAAGAAATATGCTTACACTCTGTGTACTGTTGTGTTTTACCGAGAATTCAGTCCGAGGATGATATTTTGCAAACTTTAAACTATCCTAAGTACTTGAAGATGCAACCTGCTGCTCTTGAGCATACCCTATGTAGTAGGTAGGGAGGGTTGCCTGGCATACAGCAAAATCTTTTCTTGAATGGAACACAAATTAACTTTTAAAATTTTACCTTAACTCAAGATCCAACGATTCTGACTGGTAGTATAGCCAGTGTTACTACCTTGTATTTAGCAAATGAGAAAACATACCAAACTTCAGTTCAGGTTTTCTGACCCCAAGTTTAGAATATTCAGACATGCTTCACGAAAGTTAAGAAACCCAAGTGCCACTAAGCCATCACCTTACGCTAGTGAAGGGAGAACCCGACCCTGGCGTGCGTGGGGAAGAGCTTCAATTCCAACCCACCACTTCCATGCCCAACTTTGGGGGAAAGGTGAATGGAAAAGAATCCATGATTAAGAATCGTGAGACTTCCCACCTTGTTAGAACTACCTCCAGGGGATTTCAATTTCAGTACGCCTCACTGCCCTCCATCCGAGGACACCTCCTTTCACCTCAACAATCAAAGGCAAAGATTAAATCTTGTCTGTAGTCCTGCCTCCTTTCCAACAGAACCCGGGCAGGTCACGCTGAGGACATCGAGTGCTTCCCTAAACGTTCCCGCTCCACCTCCCGCGCCCCACGGAGCCGCTCACCCGCGTGGGACATAGACGCGGTGAGGTTCCCGTAGCGCTCCTCGTTGTAGAGGACCACAGCCGAGGCATTCCTCCGCGCCGCCACCAACACCTTGTCCTTGAAGGTGCAGCCCCCGCGCGCCACCAGGGCGACCCAGGGCGCGGACCCCCGGCAGCCCGGCACCTGGAAGCTCGTGTCCGGCGCACAGCCTTCTGGGTCTCCGTCGGGCGCGCGCGGGACCCCTACCAGGCCCTGCACACCCTCCTTGGGCGAGCTGTCGCCGAAGCGGCCGCTCTCCGAGACGCTCCATACCGTCAGGTTAGTCTTCGGGGCCACGTACTCTGTGCCCACCACCGCCGAGTACCACTCGAGCGCCCGGCCCCAGGCCTCGGACGCGCACAGGGCCAAGGCCAGCAGCGCCAGCACGCCGCGGGCCCCGACACCGGCCTCAGGCTGCCGCCGCCACGCCATGGCTGCACCGCCGGGCTGACAAATAGTGGTAGGGAGCGTGGGGCGGGCGACCCCCGGGAGCGCGCGGGTTAGGCCTCCGCTGAAGGCAAGGGACGCGGCTGCTTAGTCGCGGCTTCCCGGCCGAATAACGCGCGGAGGGGGCGGGGCCCTGGCGCGCGCGCACCTGAGGGGTGGGAGGGGGCGGGGCTTTGGGAGGCGGGGTTGCCCTGGTCCCTCCCCCTGCAGACTCGAGGCGGCTGGCTCAGGAGAGAGACCGTGAGTGTGACTAGTTTAGTGTCCCGCGGTAGGCGGTCCCGGAGCCCTCGGAACGTGTGGGCGTGGCGAGGGCGTGGCAGTGCACGCCCCCGCTGGCGCCCAGCCAGACCCCTTAGGGTAGGAGCTAGTGTAAGCGGTGGGGCGTCTGACATCCTTGAAGCCAAGGGAAGTGTCCCACGGAGAAATGGGAAGCTGTCCCGGAAGCAGGCGGCGGTCGTTGGACCGCCATTGTGAAATCGCTTAACAGAAGTTTGTCAAGTTTGCTGTGCATGACACGTGGCACAGGCCTTCCTTTCTAAATATTTAGTACAGTTTTTGGACGTGGTGGCTCATGCCTGTAATTCCAGCACTCCAGGAACCTGAAATGGTAGGATTGCTGAGGCCGGGTGCTAGAGACCAGCCTAAGCAACATAGCAAGACCCCAGTCTTTACCAAAACAATCAAAAACAGCCGGGCGTTGTGGTGGGCGCGGGGAGCTTCAGTTACTGGGGTTGCTGAAGTAGGGGGATCGCTTGGCCCAGGAATTTGAGGTTGCAGTGAGCTGTGATGATGCCAGTGCACTCAGCCCAGGCAACAGAGTGGGACTGTTTCTTAAAAAAAAAAAAACTGTAAAAAGACCTAAAGTGAATGCCCATATTGTTCAGTTGCCTTTCGTTACCAATTTTTTAATGTAAATTGATTTCTTAAAGCTTCTCAAGTATTTACAACAAATCTTGTTCTTTTTTCTTTGGCTAGGGCTGGGTTTGAACCCACCACCTCTGGCATATGGGGCTGGCGCCCTACGCTTTTGAGCCACGGGCGCTGCCCCACAAATCTTGTTCTTATGGTATTTTATGTATAATCTGTAATTTTGAAATAAGTGCATCATACTATCCATTTAAATGAGCACTTAAACTGTACATTAATAATAAAAGGGTAAAGGATTTGTTTGTAAATAAATGCTGGATGACAGGAGTCCATATAAACTTGCTGTGGGTACAAAGCTTACTGCTGCCAGTAAAGAAGTTGAGAACATTGGTTTTTGACTGACTCATCTTTCTGCTTTCTTCAAGGGTTTGTAATTGGAGGAAGTAGGTTGTTGCTTTTTACACCACATCTTTTCCTTGGGCTTTAAGCCCTATTAGTTTCCTCTTTGCTATGAATCTTTCTGGGACTGCATCTGTGCTCCAAAATGCAGCCTAGCGCACAATTGATGTTTTCCTTTAAGTTGGAAAGGGTCCCATGTTGCAACTGAGTATGATGTTTAATCGTCTATAGTCCCAGGCTCAAGGCCTTCTCTTTGCTGAAGACCTAGAACTAAGGAGGTAAACTGTGGTGGGAGCAGGCCCTTTGAAGCCACCCCTGCCCCACTCTATACTTTCACAAAACAAATACTGTAGTTCCCAAAACCTGTCTTTGCAGTGTCATGCTATGCTATGTGTTGCAAATTCAGTTCCTTCTTTCTCAAATGATCTCTTACCCCTGGCTCTTGTCTTGACAAACACTAGGTTAATCTTCAGGTTTTAACTCAAAAGCTATTCTGTGAAGCCTGGCCTGGTTTACTATCAGGCAAACCTAGGTGGTCCTCCAATTTCTCATGTTGCTCGTGTATGTTTCTCTTGCACATTAATGCTGGGCCAGCAATGCTGCTTATCAAATACAGTTTTTGGCCTTTTTTAAATGTGAGCTTCTCAAAGGCCAGGACTGTGTCTTCACTCTTTTCGGGAGCAGTGTTGTGCATGTAATGAATGTTTGTTAAATCAGCAAAACATTTCTTTTTTTGCTGTTCCAGAATCAGGACTCCTAATTGGTTACATGCTTGTTGCTCCAAGAAATTCAACAGGCTAGTTAAGATCAGGGTTTGCAGCTTTTAAGCCCATAGGCCCAATACAGCTTCTTGGTCTTTATTTTGTAATTACCAGTTCTGCCTTGGCTGGTTTTCCCTGAGCCAAAGGTACCAATTAGCACTCGCTTTCAGGACCTTCTTTCCCTACACTGGCTGCCAAGTGCCACTCAGTCTTTTTAATTCCCTGCCCTTATTGCTTCAGGAGAAAACATGAGGATGTCATTATCTTGCCATTATCTTTTTTTTTTTTTTTTTAATGAGACAGAGTCTCACTCCATTGCCTGTGCTAGAGTGCTACGGACTCAGTCTAGCTCATAACAACCTCAAACTCCTGGGCTCAAGTGACCCTGCTTCAGTCTTCCAAGAAGGTGGGACTACAGGCACCCACCACAACACTTGGCTAAGTTTTTCTGTTCTTAGTAGAGACAGGGTCTTGCTTTTTGCTGAGGCTGGTCTCCAACTCCTGAACTCAAGTGAGGCTCCTGCCTCGGCCTTGCAGAGTGCTAGGATTACAGGCATGAGCCACCACACCAACCTGTTATCTTTTCTTTAAGTCATTTTATCATGGAAAATTTCTAATATTTCCCAAAGTAGAAAGACTGGTATGATGAAGCTTTATGCACTCATAACTTAAGTTCAACAATGATCAACTTATGGCTGATTCTGATTTGATTTCAGCTATACTCCTAGCCACTTCCTCCCCCGCCCCGTGACTTATTTTGAAAGTGTAAAATGAAATAATTCAGACTTAAAGCTGTTGTAACTTTAAGTTATTTCTGATCCTGAGAGGGATGTGGCTATACTGCCTAAATCACATGACATACGGTTGCAACTTCTGACTTTTTTCCTGTAAATAATCAGGAAGACAAAGTAGCACCAGAGATGGGATCCTCCTCAGATCTTTATCTCTCCCCTCAGAGTAAGTCAGTAATCTTCCTTGAAATGTAGCTATCTATAATCACTTAGATACGCACTAGTCTTGTATGGAAAAGGTAATTCTGCTAAAACTTCTCTGTCACTGCCTGTGTATTTGAAACCTTGACTTTTCCACTTTGGAATGCTGAAACCACTTGTTTACAGCAGCGGTTCTCAACCTGTGGGTCGAGACTGTGGCATTAGGAAGGTTGAGAACCACTGCTTTAGCGCGTGTGTTCCCTGGATGGATGGTTATACTCATGTTTTACACTCCAGTAAACCCTGCACTTAATCACATTTTCTGAATTTAAAGTTGACAAAGGAAATCTCAATATTATATAATTTTATTTGTAAACATTTTAATACATACCCTTAAAGGATAGGGACTCTGTAAAAATATAATCACAGTATTAGCATCACATTTAAACAACTGACCAAAGATATCACTGAATATGCAATCAACACACAAATTTCCCCTGATTGTCTTCTGAATGTTATTTTACATTTAGTTTGTTTGGGTCAAGATTCACACATTGCATTAGGTTGGAATGTCTCTTGAGTTTCCTTTATTCACAAGTTTTTTTTTTTTAATGGGAGGGGGATTGGTTGATTCGTCCTGTATAATTTCCCACATTCTGTATTTAGCCGATTATATCCTCATGAATTTGCAAAATGTTGACACTGTAATTCTATCATTCTTTCTTGATTTATTATTAGCTATAATATGTCTATAAAGAGAATATGCACCTCACCAAATGAAAGTAACCCTAAGATACAGTTTATAGAGAGAGAGTTTAAATGACGGATTCTTTTATTTTTCAGTTATCAGAATAATGAATCCCTAGCTCCCCACTAAATAGAATGCTTTAAAATTAACATTAACAATGCATGATTTAGAATACTTGATGGGATTCAGTTCTTTGCATTTATTATTCTCACTGAAGCACAACTCCTTCCCATTGTCGGCCAGTTAAGCATCTCCCAGATTTGCATCTAGAATCTCTTGGATTTCTTCCTTGCTTTCTTTCTTTCTTTTTTTTTTTTTTTTTTTGAGACAGAGCCTCAAG